GAGACACAAAGCTAACCAAGCAAAGGAACAAGATTGATGTAATCTACATGAATAAAGGCAACTATATGCCATTGAAACACAATAAACATTCTTATGTAAAAATTTATCTTTCTAATACAAGTATACATGTACTCTATTGTTTCCCTTGAATAGTTATCACATTCACATTGCTTATTTAATCATTAGAAAATTGTAAATACTTAGCCAAACACATAGAATAGTCAATATAAAGGTAGAAAAACATCATTTGTGACCCGATATGAGAAAACCAGGCTATCTGCGAGAATTATCATTTTGAGCTATGGGCTCATAATCACGAAAAATCTTTACCTGGGCAAAATTCATTTTATCACATAAACATGTTATATAAACAAAATCCTTTCATTTGATACCAAAATCAGGGGTAGCGAAGCCTTCTTTGCCGAGTTATAAGCCCTTCGACATTTTACCTTGATTGTGCACGGAGAATGTTACACGGAGCGACCACGGAATAAAAACGGATGGCTTTAATGCGTCATTAGGTAACCATGGAGTCTCTATAGCAACTATTTAAAGTATAACAAAGACGAAGAAGACTACTTATAACAACTATGGCTACAGAAAGAGACATTGCTCGCTTGTTAAATGAAGAAATAGGTCCTCGAGACAGTGACTACGTTGCTTCAGTTCTTGGGGACTACTTTTGTGATGAAACTAGTGGTAAGCTTATTCATAACACTGTTTACATACTAACTGTGAATAGCGGTTAGCTATCACAACAATGACATTCCATCACCTGTATAAATGCACAATATTATTATATTAAACTTAGTTATACAGTGTATTTGTTAATTGATAGAGACAGACTATGAAGCAGTAGAAGATATGGAAGAAGAGGTAGAGGAAGGGAAAGAAGAAGAGAAAGAGACAAAAGATTGTGATGAAGATATTAATCCACCACTGTTTGATCCTGAGGTGGCTGTGGAGCTACAAGTATCAGATCTTGATTTAGAATCAGCGATGCCTGATGCTCCGGCTACTTCAACTACTCACTCTGGTGATGACATGAGGAAGGAAGACCTACAGGAGGAAGAAGAATTATCAAAGTTCTTTGAACATGGATGTGGTTGCTCAGATAATTGCTATGCACTGTTCAGTCACTCTTACATAAAAACATATAGATGTGACATACAAGCCATGGCAAAGCCTGTTCATAAAATTGCTATTATGAGTCAAATGGCAGCAACATCTACCATGGGGGGATTGTCGACTGGCAACCACAGGAGACAGAATGAGAGAAAGAGGCAATTTTTTACGTTCATGCATCAAGGTCATAAGGTTTGTAACTATGAGTGACACAGCACAAAATTAATCGTTTTTCAACTAGATATGTAGAGTAACATTTCTGAAGCTACATGCATGTGGCAAAAGCAGGTTTGAGGAAATCATGAAAAACTACAGAATGAATGGATTAATACCAAGGTATGAGACTTAAAAATTCAATGTTATGTACTTAACTTTATTAGAGTTCACGGAAATGCTGGAAAGACACCAAACCATGCTTTGACTTATGATGATATTCTCCGGGTTGTTGCTTTCATCAGAAATTACGCTGAAGTCCATGGAATCAGTCTTCCTGGAAGAATACCTGGAATGAAAAGTTACGAGAATAAGAAGTTCTTACCATGCAGTACATCTAAAAGGCAGGTATACTTAGAGTATGCGGAATCATGTGAAGGGCTTTATGTCAAAGCATGTGCTGAAACAACATTCAACATGTTGTGGCGACGCTACCTGCCTTATATTGAAAAAATGAAGCCTATGTCTGACTTGTGTGCCACTTGTAAAGAGATAAGTGGACTGATTATAAGAAGTGCTAACATGCAATCAGATGAAAGGATAACTGAGGTAAGTCAGTATTGTAATAACACAAGTATTATTTAGAATTTTCAGGCAATGCAAAAGGCACTAGATCACAGACGTCTTGTTAAAAAGGAAAGGGAGTACTATAAGGATGTATTAAAAGAGGCACAATTATTGTTAAAAGGGCTGTATACTGATGCAGCAAACAATTACAATCCCCCACTAACAAGGCCACATGCTATGTTAAATATTGTAGCACATTATAGCTTCGATTATGCTCAACAGGTAACATTTTATGATATGAAAGTGTATCTAGCTTACTTTCTTTTTTTAAGGTTCACTATCCTTCAAGTCCACTACAAGCAGGTCCAATTTATTTTCTTACTCCCAGGAAATGTGGCATATTTGGCGTGTGCTGTGAAGCTATCCCTCAGCAGGTTAATTTCTCTATCGATGAATCATTCGACACTGGTAAAGGGGCAAATCCTGTCATAAGCATGGTACATTTTTATTTGAAGAATCATGGCCTCAACTCAGTCAGTATCCATTTCAATGCTGACAACTGCACAGGGCAAAATAAAAATAATACAGTTATTCAAGTAAGTATATTACATGCACAATAATGAACATTTTAAATGTAATTCTTTATTTATTTTAGTACCTCTTATGGAGTCATGACAGGACTCAATGCGTCCATTTCAATATCCTTTCTGCCAGTTGGACACACAAAATTTTCTCCAGACTGGTGCTTCGGACTATTAAAGCAAAAATTCCGTAAAGCAGAGGTGGACTCATTGGATGACTTCATTCAAGTTGTAGAACAATCATCTGCTGTGAACAAAGCCCAACCAGTAGGAAGTAGCAATGGTGAACTCATTGTAGAAACACTTGACTGGTGTAGTTACTTTGCTACATTATTCAAGAAAATAAAAGGCATCAAAGGCTTTCAACACTTTGTTGTAAATGCGACCTCACCTGGTGTAGTTGCAGCCAGACAAGCTGTAGATGGCCCAGTCTCACAATTCAATTTGCTGAAGGAGGACGCTCAAATAATGGAAGATGAACTACCTATTATATTACCACCAAAGGGTATGTCAACTGAAAGGAAATGGTACCTTTACGAAAAGATATGATCGTTTTGCAGATACGAATGTAAAGATGTAACCTGCCCACTTCCTGATGCACCTCGACCAACAGGATCATCTCGACAATCAACACCAGGTGTAGATAATCCACCAGACCTTGCAATGGAGATTGAAGTACCACATTCTCCAAGGCAATCTCTAGAACCACCTGCAACACAAAGAAAATGTGGTAATTGTGGTCAATTTGGTCATAATAGAAGAACTTGTCCATGTAATCAGTAAATGAATAACAGAAATGAGTTTGTGTAATGCACATACTATTGATCCCCTTTCAACAGGAGAGGAACTAGTTAGTCTACAACAAACAGACTATTGATCCCCTGAAACAGGAGTGGAACTAGTTTGAATGCCAAACATTCAAACTATTGATCCCCTGAAACAGGAGTGGAACTAGTTTGAATGCCAAATATTCAAACTATTGATCCCCTAAAGGAGAGGAACTCGTTTGTAACGCTAAGACATACAAACTATGGATCCCCTTTTTTGAAAACAAAGGTGTGGAACTAGTATGTGCGTGAGACGTCAACATAAACACAAACACTCATTTTTGTTTTAAACTTACTAACTCAAAAGGGAAGGCTGAGAAAGTTAGTCTCGGCTGAGAGAAAGTTAGTCACAAAGTTATCATGCAGGTGATATGTGTTTATCTGTACAGGTGAGAGGACTGATGATAAAAATGTGTGGGAGAAGAATACCGAAATAGAAGTCACTGCATCATTCACAGCCAATCAAAGAACACCAAGTGTCAACTGTGACCTTTAGGATATAAAATAAGACACCTGAAACCGTAAGTTCAAAATCAAAAAGTAATGGCTGCCCCAATAGAGGATGTCCTCATTGAGGTTCATCCATCTGATGGTAAGTTGGGAATGTGTAACCCTATAGTGATAACTATAATGCCTTTTTTTTGATAGATGAACTTGGTAAGTTGTTTATATGTTTGTGTTGTACATTAAAAAGCAAAAAATAACTGTATTTATAGCAGAAAAAGAAGTCAGGGAGAAAGAGAAGAAAGGAGACAGAGGAGAGAGGACAGAGGAGAAAGGGGAAAGAGACAAAAAAGACAGAGACAAAGAGGAGAGAGGAGACAGTACAAAAGAGAATGGTAAGATTGAGTGAAATTGACATTGAAAATGACATTGTTTTTAATAGAATCAAATGGCCTAAGTAAGTTTTCTTTTATGATTGCAATCTAATAATTTTTGCTGTCAAGCAGATGTAAGAAGGACCATTGTATTAAAAAGTAACTTTGCATTGTATTTTGGTTAGTTTTATTTACAAACATTAGGCAAGAAGAAAGAAGGAAGGCCCTTAGGTAATTCAATTAATAATAGTTGAATTACTTGTACTTTCATTTAACACTAATTATTAACTTTAAGACTTGGAACAGTTTCGGCCAGCTCTTAAAAGTAAACATAATTTAAGTGTAAGTTAAAGGCTTTATGACATTGTAAATTAGGACAGCTGGAACTAATAGAAGAAGGAAGGAGGGAGAGAGGAGAAATAAAGGACAGTGATGATGGGAAAGAAACAGGGGCAGGAAATGAAACAGAGGGGACAGAAGAGACGGAGACGGGAGAAGACACAGGCACGCGAGGGGAGACAGAGAGAGAGAAGGGAAAGAAATTCATAGTAACAATGGAGCATTAATGTAAACAATAATAACTTAATCTCTTTTTATCTCTTTTTATTAGAAAAAAAGGAGACAACATAGGGGTAAAGGGAAGCAGGGACGAGGTGGAGGGAGAGGAGCAGGAAGAGGTGGCCAAAAAAGAGGGGGAGGTGGCCAAGGAAGAGGTGGAGGTGGCCAAGGAAGAGGGGGAGGTGGCCATGGAAGAGGGGGAGGTAGCCAAGGAAGAGGGGGAGGTAGCCAAGGAAGAGGCCCTGCTACAACAGTAATTGAAAGAAACATCATTAAACATAACAATAACAACAAATCTTTCG